TAATGTAAATGAAAAGAAATAACTGCATGTCCTGAGTTAGGCTGCAGCTTGAAGAAAACAAGTGAAAAAAAAATGTCTGACAGGGCATTTCTTGGTTCTCTGTCACACATGCAATTTTGCCATTGAGTTCAGGCTATGTGGAATAAATAAAAGCACAGGCAGCTTCGCAAGCAAACAATTTTTCATTTGAGCTGTAGCACAGAAAACAAAACAAAACTTATCTGTAAAAGTAAGGTTTAACTTGCATGTCTTGCCAGGAAACAGAACTACACCATGTATTCAGAACAGTAATAGAGCAATTACAGCAGGGATCCATAGCAGGGGAGTCTGACCTTGTTTTGCATTCAAAGAATAAATGCTACAGAAAGCTGACAAAGTAATTATTTGAAACCTCAAACAGAACACACCGCCAGCAAGCAGCCGGTTTGGGTCTCTGATAGGGAAGGAGCTCAGCAAACACCAGCTGAGGGATGTGCATGAGCATTTGTTTTCTTTCTGTGGATAGAGACCAGCTTTCACACGTATGAGCAAGTACATTAAAGTAACGTGGGACCTTTTGTTCTGAGTTAACCAGCTGAAGCGTTCACTACTGTTGCTGCTCCTATGGAATGCAAAATAGAATATAACAGCAACAACAAAAAAGCACCATTTTGAAAGGAATATATTATTTCACCTACGAGGCAAACTCCCTGCTGCCACAGTATAACTGAGTTAATTCCTCTAGAGTGTAAATAGGAGCCAATGGGACTTCCCAGCCAGAGCCCAGCAATACACTGCCAGCACTCTGCAGGCATGGAACTGACGTGGGTCCAGACCCTGTTGGCTGCTCTCTGCACATCTCCACAATTACTTTTTTCCAGGGTCTTTCTGGAGAAATGAGCTATCCATCATCCCCCCCAGCAGCACATCTTACCACAGCAGGATCAAACTTTCCCTAGCAGTTAATTGCTTTTTCCCCTTAACTTGAACACATCAGCTCACTCTTGAAAACTGAAGTGTTTTCTATTATGGTGAGACCTATTGAAATCTTGGTAGCTGCACAATTAGTATTTGCAAGAAATTTCCGTCTTAGTTTCCTTATACATTTTCTTAGTAACATTCCAGTTCTAGAAAGGCTTTTTCTGTTTCTATAATGAAGGATTACTTTGTGCAAACAAACACCCTTTCCTCTAGGCCAACATGAAATGCAAAGCTAATTAATTATTAAACATATTAGCGCACGGAAACACTGCAGTCTGAGACTTGACATTGACATCAAGTCTTCAGACTCCAATGGGCTCGTGTGGGGAGGACAGGCTCCCTGACTCTTCTATGCATGGAATGTTCCATTGCTGCATTGTCTGTTTCCACATCAGATGCAGAAGAATTGGGCTGCCCAAGTAAGAATTCCGGCTTATTTATGGATTAAGTTTTGCTTCAGGCAAAATGGTGTTTGCACCATGTAAGTACACATGAGCTCCCATCATTTCATCCAGAAACTCACAGGCAGCTCCATAAAGTTTGGTCCTAAACCAGCAGCCTCCAAAGCAAAAAACAGAAAGCAGAAAGTCACAACTGTGACAGTTCACCTTTGTTTCTGCAAGATTTAGAGAGAGCAAATGACCAGGCAATAAATACATCAAGGAAAAAGAAACAACAGCCAAATTTTGGGTGACATAAGATTCTCCATGTTCTAAAATCTGAGGCCACTCAACACCAACTGTTTAAAACCCTTCACCTCAGTGCTACCAGTAGCAGAATAGTTAGATATGGAGGCATTTTGTAGACTGTATCTGCCTCAGTGTTGCTGGTGAAATGGAAGAGATGCCCGAGTTCTGATCTCCAGTTATGAGACCTATACAAGTGTTTCTTTCAGCTCCCCTTGGTAGAAAGGAATAAGAACTGCAGTGCAAGATCAAAAAGCAGCTTTTATCAGCCTGCATTAAGAAATGTATTCTGGTGGTAAGGTGCCAGAAGGCAAACAGAAAAAAGGAAGTTGTTCCTTTCATAGTTCTCACAATTTAACATGATGTAGCTATTAGGGGGTTGCCTCCTGACTCCTGTTTGCTTGAAGATAGCAAGACTAAGCACCTTAAAAGAACATGCTTTATCACAGCATTTGTTTCATAGGGAATATATAGAAATAAGTACAAATGGACTGCAAAACTTTAAACATTAAAAAAAATCAACACAATTAGATTTACAGAGGTCCATATTTGAGGTTAATTTAGGAAAAGTTAAAGAAAATTGGTCAGCATTCTTAAGACTCTGCCTCATGTTACGGCCCTAAATCTAAATGCAGGCAGTTGTTTATATGAGCACCGAGTCCTCCCAAAATAATTAAATGGGCACCACGTTTAAAGCACATATTTTAGCCCACCTGAAGTCTTGCAGCAGCGTTGGAATGATGGCAGGGAACACGGCCAAGGAATCAATTAGAAAGCACATCACACTGTTCATGACATTAATCTTCAAGGCAATGTTCTCCCTCGCATTCCTGCAGAAGTTTGTTATTAAATAACTGCAATATGCACTCGTGCACAGTTTGTGTTATCAGGGAAAAACCACGAGCACTAAAAATATGTAATTTAGAAATCAGCTCCTGCAAAGTCATGGGAACACACATCTGTGGTATATAACAAGTATAAAAGCAATCTCTCTTCTGCACATCTTAAATCCACCCAGAAAAAAAAAAAAAAAAAAGCTCTATCTGTCCTTTACTACTGCCAGGAAAATACCTGCACTGAAACAAAGGTGATTGCTTTCAGACAACAGTATTTCTCCAGTATTGGTAAGGGTAACCGGATTTAGTTTAAGTAAATAATTCAGTGTATTGTCCAAACAGTGAAGCATGGAAAAGTCACTTCTCCTTGCATAAGTTTTTCCTATTTTTCAAGAATGTAGACAGCAGTTCTATAGATGATACTTTCCCAAAGAGTTTACCATTCCCAGCTCTGTTTGCATACACATACATATCCGTGTTCAACTTTTTGCACTGCTGTTATGACTGTTAAAGCTAGGCCTGCAGACTGTAAACTGAGATGCTAGATAAGCCCAATGAGAGCAAAACAGATCAGGAGGCTCTTCTATCCAGCAGTACTGAAGAGACAGCGGTGTAGATGGCACATGCTTTTACTGACACCCACCTATCTCCTTGTTCAGATTTCCCCTGCAGATTGCCATCAGACTCTGATGGATTATCCTCAGCTAAATGCCAAACTCTAGGAACTCCCCCCGCTCCCTAAAATCTCTGCCTTGCAGACAGCAGGATGCTATTTTCTCTCACATTTGTAGGCACAGGGTGGGAGGCTTTCTAGCTTTTCAAGGACTGGGATGATGTAACCTGAAAACCTCTCGGGACAGCACGTGCACAGCACAAGAGCCTCGGCCACCTCCTCCTCGCTGTGAGCACACGCAGAAGGCACCACAGCTCTGCAAGGCTTTGTTTCTTGGGACTCCTGCATCCAAGGGACACAGCATCCCTGAGACACGTACAGGAAAGCAGATCCTCTCCTCCCACGTACCTGGGGGACCTCCCTCCAGTTCTTGCCGAGACGAGCTAAAAGACTGATTTCCATGTGGAATCAGTACGCATCTTAACAAGCCCTGGGAAGATAACTGTAACAACCCAGAAGCTGCTCTTCTTCATTCTACAGCTCTCCTCCCCCCCCCCCATCTCTTCCCAACATGCTCACAGCAGCATTTGTAGGCATCTAGCTAAAGTACAAAGAAATTCAGCTCTGCAGCAAGGTACCCTTCCCTCCTCCTGAGGCCTTATCAGGTACCCCCAGGATAGGATAGAATATGATGGAAGGAGTGCAGGCAGAGAGCAAAAACAAGAGAAAACTGTTGACCAAACAACACTATCTACAAAGTTTCAGGTAACATGACCAAATTCCTATAACAGCTCCTGTCCCAAAGGCAGCAGGAGAGCAGCCCCACCACCACCAGGACAAGCCCAAAACAAAAGCATCTTATCAGCAGCAGGCATTAGTGGTGTTCAAAGCAAAAAAGACACTGTCCTCATTTCTGTAACAAGCCCCCACTGGAGTCAAGGCAGCCTGAGGGAGCGAGTCTCACTTCATAAGACAGACACACAGGTATACCAGGGGATTAAGTCATTTCACTTAGTCAAGTTCAGCATGCAGTTCCCATTCACTTCTTTGGAAGTCAGATCAGGATCTCATTGCATAACTACTAGGGAAAGAAAAAAACAAATATTGCTCACACACCTCTATTTCCCTCCACACTCCACCAACCAAATACTGCCTGGGCATTGAGCCTGCCAGGAACCGTCCCGACCAGTACACTGTATTAGACCTACTGACTGTACCCTAAACTGTTTAGAGCTCTGATTACTATTGCAGTGTTAGAGATTTCTAGCACAGCAAGGCTCTCCAGGAGCCGGGCAGAGACTCCTTGACACCGAAGCTACCGAGGACTTCCTAGGACCTCAGGAGAGAAAACAGCCTCCAATGGAACTCGAAGTTTCCCAACTTACATCAATTTGTGATGAGCACTGATTGCATACCACGCTTAATATCAAGTGGATTCTCTGCCCTGACAACGTCCTATTTCTTCACCAGAATAACAGGGACACGAAGGAAGCTGCCAGCCTCTCAAACTTATGTGTCAAAATCCCTAAGAAATCTGCCATTTAAATCGTGTGCGAGCTTCTCCATGGAGATACAGCTTTAATTATTTTCAGCGCTCGGAGCAGTTTCAATTCCAGCCGTGCTCAGGAAGCTCTCGGGCGGCCCGGCCCCCGCTGCGCTCTGCCCCACACCGCTCCCGAGCCCCGCAGGATGGGAGCTCAATTGGAGGATGTTTACGCAGCGAAGTCCAAAGACGCCGCCGAGCGACCCAGCATGTGGGAAACTCCTCACCTCCCAGTCGGAGCCGAACGCCCTCCCGGGAGACTGCCGTGCAGCGGCTGCGGGAAGCGGACTCCCGAAGCCGTGCGGCTGTAGGACGCAGCCGTGCTCCATCCCCGCTCCCCAGCGGCTCCGTGCAGCCCTTACCTTGCGCACCCCTCCGAAGCCGTGATCCGCCGCCACCCGCTCGGCCTCCGCCTGGTCCCCGCCGTGCAGCTCCACCAAGAACTGGTTGGTGTAGACGGCTGCCCGGGCCGGGGCCCCGAGGGAGAGCAGCAGGACGAGGAGGAGGAGGACGAAGGCGCCTCGCAACAGCAGCGCCGGCCCCACCGGCATGGCCCCGCGCTGAGCGCCCGCCGAGGCAGCCCGCGGGGAGGGCGCCGGGCGGGCGAGATGGGGAAGCGGCCAAAAGATGCAGGGGGGGAGGATGCGAGATGGTAAGGGAGGGAGGAAACAAATAACAACAACAACAAAAAAAAAAAAAATCAAAAAATTCCCAAGCTGAGGAAAGCGGCGGGAGCGGCCGGGCTGCAGGGGCTGCTCGGGGCGCGGCGGTGTGCGCGCTGCCGGCGCTGCAGCCCCGGCCCCTCCTCAACGCGGAGCCGGCGGAGGGGAAGCACCAGCCGGGAGGGGACACCGCCGCGCTGCCAATCACGGCCGGGGAGGATCGCCCCGCTCCCCCCCGCCCGCGGCTGGCGATCGCATAGCCCGCAATGCCCCCCCGGAGCCAACCCCGCTCAGCATCCCGGCAGCCCCACCCCGAGCCCCAGCTCTGCCTCCCGTGGAGGGGAGGGGGGCTGTCCCGTTTAGCGGGTTCTGACTGCCAGCAGCTGTAAGGCTGGGGGTCGAATGCTTCAGCAGAACGCACCTGGGCAGGTGTTGGCAATTTGCGCGGTCCGGTGCCAGCACCTGGCTCCCGTAGCGAGCCCGATGAGCAGCAGGTGCACCCTGCCCCAGCAGAGGGTCCCCGTGCCCCTTTCGGCACAAACCAACGTACAGAGAAGCATTCAGGGGAAAAAAATCAGGGTCCGGGGCCCCAGCTGTGCTGGGAGCACTGAGTGCGGGGCTCTGGGCTCGAAGAACAAGCTCTATGTGAGATGCAAGGAAAGCAACGGCAGGGTTGCACCTGTGCAGAGAGCCTGGATGGGGTCGGTGTGCTGGGGGGATTTCAGAGAGGTGGCTGTGCCTAAGGGGAATGGAGCTCTGCTGAATAGAAATCTGCCCTGCTCAAAACTCCTAGTGGAAATGAATAGTACAGAGTATTCACTGTTCCATCAAGGTGTATGATAACCTGTTCCTACAACTATGTTCGTTAATTTATCATGAAAAAAAAAAAAAAAAAAAGTTAATCCTCAGATTGATCCCTGAATGGAGCCCTGGGAACAACTCAGGACATAGAAAGCACAGTAAGGCAGCACTGCCCTCAAAACAAATAGTGATAGATTTACCACAATCCATTCTACAAATGGTCCAGTGGAGTACAATACCTAAATCAATTGGGGAAAACAAAAGAAAACAAAGATCACAAGGAAGACTCTTCTTCCATTAACCTCCAAAGCTTTAGAAAATGACAGAAAAGCTCACCATGTGATTGTGGTTCCAAATGAGTGTTAGTTTGCCATGACAAATTATTGATTTCCTTCCTCTGGGTAAAAGAAAATCCCTCTTCAAACAGAAGGGAAATGGTAACTTGGAGCCTGATCCAAAGCCCTTTTAAATCAACAGAAGTGCTGTAAATGAAAGTCTGGTGTTGGGAAAAAAAAAATCAAACACTGGGGAAAGGTAAAATATGAGCAATGGCACAATAAAGAAGGAAAACATCTTTGCAACCTCATTAAGACACTACATCAATAGAATCCTGATTTTAGATGCTTGTTCTTAGCATACACAGTTATTAAAACAACTTTATATGATATTTCTTTAAGCCAAGGTGCTTGCTTTCATCAATATTCAGCAATACCTCTCCTCACAACATCTCTCCCAGCATGAAAGCAGACCCTGCAGTTTGATTTGTTTCCAGGTGACTCAGGGGCTGTGAGGCTCTCAGATCAGTAACAGCTGCTGGTAATGTCTCACCAGCCATTGGAGGCCCCTCTGGTTTCCATCCACAGCTGTTCCTCAGGAGGAGAAGCTGAGGGAAATTAAAACAGAAGCAGCCAAGTGGAATTTTCTCTACTCTAAAATTTCCTATATGTGAGAATATATATAAGACTTTCTTCCTTGTAGTCACTCTTCCTTTGCTTGCTATGCATCCATTTTGTTGCTAACTCAAAAGAGGAGGAGGAACACCAATAACAAAGGCAATGGAGTAGCCCTCCTGCCTCCATCAAATCAACAAGACAAGATCCTGCTCGTGTTCAGAAACTGGGGCCGTATCACAGATCTGGGCAAGCAGTCTGACTTAGTCACAGCATATCTTCTCTCATCCCCTGCTGCCAGCTGACAATGCTGTTCTGCAAGTCAGTGCTACCAGAGAACACGTAGGGCTGGGACATTACACCGATGAAGAGATGGAGCCAGCTGCTTCTAGCTTGTAAACCTCACGCTGTTGAGCTTGGATGGTTCCAATTATGTTTATAAAAAAGGGTGGAAAAAAAAAATATTATGAAAGATTGAGTTAAAAAAAAAATCAAATCTGAATAGCACCAGGAAAAGTCAGTTCCAATATGTCAATGTTTATAGCAGTTTAAGATCAGACAGCACCACTGGATTTCTAACCCGGTACTTTATGTAAGCTGTAGAACTTACATGTATCCATTTTTGCTTCCAGTCCATAGGCCTTTTTTTTTCTACTTGATGTGGCAGATTTGAGTTAAAAATCAAGACTGCTCCATTACAGCCACTGTGGAGATGTTACAGTGATTGCTTACAGTCATTTGCAAAAAAAAATTGTAACTCTGCCTGTTCTTTAGAATTCTGATTGGTACCACATTGACTACTGGATAGTAGTTTTATTACGAATTTCTGTGCTGACATGCTGAAATTTTACCAAATTTCTCCTCCCCTAATAGTAACTTCAAGGTAGTGATGATAAAGACATCTAGGTAGCACTCCCTCAATCTCTTTATGTGAAGCAGCCCTACAACAATTCCCATTTAATCTCCTTGATTTGTGAACTATAACTGCTCCAGATATTTCAGCTCCAGATAATTCAGGTCAGGCCAGTGCTAAATGGATTTTATATCACTCGCACTTTCTTAGTGGATAGCCAGTATTTCATCAACCAGAGAGTCCATTCAGTCTCCTTCCCATTGAGAATCCCAGTTGTTTAGCAGACCACCCCAAGCCAACTTATACATCTCTCATCTACCTCAAGCTTTTTTCAGGACTGCTGTAATTACATGCAGTATGGCTAATGATCTTTGTCCCCATAAATATATTACTCTACTTTATTGAAATAGATGTAATTTACTTGCATGGAGCTTTCCAAACAACCCAGATCAGTCAGCACTCCTCTCTTTTATTGTTTATGACTTCCTTCTCTAACCTGCAAACTTTATCAGTACATTGATGTACTGGATTTAGCAAGGTCTTACAAAGATCATTTCTTGGCCCCAGTCCTCTGGAATATCTCCAGAAACAAATCACCTTCAACAATGATTCCCACTTCGTAATTCTACTTAAGCGTTTAATCATGTTTTAGTCCGCTTCACAAATGCCATTTTGACTTTGTATGCAATTTACTCATCAGCATCATGCAATATCAAGCATCTCCCAGATACAACCAATATAGCAGAGATGATGGATCAAAAAACCTGCATATTGTTTTTCCAACTACATCAGTTCATCCAGTAGAAGAGACAAAGCTTCCCCATACATCTTGACTTATCTTACAGAAAGCTCACAAATAACACTACTAGTTTTACCAGCTCAAACTACAACAGTGATTTAAAAAGTGATATAACATTAGTTTAACAATTCTAGGTCCCAAATGGGTGGCTGGCTACATCTCTAAGTAACTCTTAAGTCATATGATCCTGACTATTTTACAACAAGTAGTTGACTTTTAGCATGAGGTCATCAAAGTACTAACATGAGAGGCACTTCTCTTATTGGGAACTGCACAGAATAGTGCCATGCCAAAAAGATCAGAAGGTAAGGAGAATTTGGAAGAACTCATTTCCTTACTGTGGAAGTCAACTGAGTCCTAAGTACAAGATTAACATTGCTTACATCTTCAGTTGGTCATCCTAGCAGGTATGTGAGCAGCAGCATTCTGAAGAGATGGACACAATTTCATGTATTATGAGTGAATCACGTGAGCATCCTTTTGCACAAGTTTTATTCTCCCTTAAACCTATCCTTGTGAACTGTGAACTAAGCATATAACCAGGCTATAACTGGATTCTGAAGCAGGCTTAAGGATAATGCCTGCATTTGGAGCAACAAAAATGAGGCTAAAAAGACATGAGGAGAAATTTCAAAGGAAAGAATTGGATGGATAGTTTACAAAAAGAAAAACATGGCTTGGAGGGCAGGAGTATTGCTTGGTAGTCTTGTTTAGAAGTTACTAGGACAGGGAACAAGTAGATGTATCTAAAGAAAAGCAAGTAGAGCCCTACTTTCTCTGTATATCCAAAACAATCGAGTATCTGTGTAATTGAATGCACACCATAAAGAGAATCAAGTAAATGCCACCAGAAACTTCCCTTTGACCCACTGCTGTGAGTTGGCCCACTTCAGCTACAGGATTAAAGTCACTTAGAAAGATTCCTGCACAAATATCTTAAAGGTATGATGACTGTGCATCAGCCTTGCTGCAGATCATCCCATGACAGCCTTTAAGAGCAGGCTTTACACTGGTTTATTTTGATACTGAGCAGCATCAAGATGAGGAAAGCAAAGCAGACCACAGTAAATGAGTTGAGAGAGAGCACGGCCACTACTGCTCCACGTTGGGCTGACTGCCAAATCAGTCTTACAGTGGGTTTTCAGAAGACACATCTGGGCCATTCAAGCACAACAGTGAAAAGATTGCAACATGATGATGCTGAGGAAAACTGATAGTTTTGTGGCGAGGCTCTAGGTTAAAGAGCTTGGGATACAGCTATCTTAGACAATTTTAAGATCTTCTGTCCTATTTCAAAATACCCATCTAAACCTTTTCATTGTTTTATGCTATAGGAATATTACTGTTGTGAACACATTAATGATGAAAGTATCATTTGCATTCAAATAGCTTCTGATTGCTATACTTTATGTTCAATGAATTTATCGGAGAGAGAAAGCTACAGCAGGCACCACTTTCTATGTAAGGTATGTGTACCCAGAAAGGTTGGCAGCTACCAGACACAGAAATGAAGAACAGTGATGAAATGTTTCATGCCATCTCTGCTAGGGACTGGATGGACATTGCAAACTTAAAGGACACCAGAAGCCTAGTCCATGCTTTCTAATTAGTTAGACTTCAAGTTGCAGGCATAATCCTCACAACACACATTTTTCTGTTTATATTTTTACTGCCAGGCACCAGAGTAGACCAGAATTACAATAATTCTACTAAATTAATGGCATGATAATGCAAATAGTAGAAGACTATTAGAAGTGGTCTTCAGAATACACTGACTGCAGGGTTGGTGGGCCGAGCAAAGAGAGGCATAATTTCCTTCCCAGTCAGTTTTTATTTTATTTATTATGTCTAGATGTAAGGAGCAACAGAAGGGCTGCTGCATAACATGGTGTCTGATAGGAGGAAGGTGAAAGGCATTGAGATAAGCAGTGAAAGCAATCTCCCATGCTTACTTTACAAGTCTGCAATTCAAAAAAAGACAGAGAGAAATAGCTTACATGTAAAATACACATTCACAAAACAGAACAATAAAGCCCTTGGAAGAAAATAGCGCTTAACTGAGCATTTGAGTATGCTTAAATTTAGGCATATGCTGAAAGCCTCAAGGATTTCCCTGGTACTACAACGTGTGCGTCTGTTTACTAAATGGGAATATGATTACCCATGTGCTGAAGTCGTTTCCTGAATCTGACTCTT